TAGAAACATTTTTTATTGTATAAGTTTCAAGTGTTCAACATTATAATTCCACATCTGTATATATTACGAATGATCACTTCCCAAAGTCTAGTTACTATCCATCATGGTGTTTGATACTTTTAATGTGCAGTTGGAAAGCAAACTTTTTCGAACTTAAAATATTATAGATCAATTACTTTGGCATAAACTTCTCCTCACCCCCTGTTGGAAACAAACAGGGAAGAAGAGTAGGGGAAAGTGTCGAATGTTATTAATCTTTTACATATCAGTGAACATTATGTAAAAGGCTTATTTTTCTAGAGTTGTTTTTCTATTAATAGAGAAGGCAGAGAGAGCTGGACTAGAAGTTTGAAGACACAATTTACCTACTAGATAATTTTGCCAAAGGTGGTTTCTGACCAAGACCTAAAATAGAGCCTTTATATAAAACATTTCATTTGTGCTCTATGTCTCTTCTTTACTATTTATTCAACAAATATTTGTTGAGTAGCTATTATGTGTTAGGCATTGTGTAGGGCACTGGAGATACAATGGTGAGCAAAAGGAATTTGACCTTACATGTGAGCCATGTTGGTGGACATTATTGTTCTCTTCCTCCTGATATACAAAGTTACTTTTCCTGGTGAGATTTCCTAGGCAGTCCCTGTATTCTTCCACTTTTTTGTAGTACAAACCAGGTTCTCAATGTGTACTTGTTAGTAATGATGATAAGATAGTGAATGGTTTTAGAAACCGATAATTTCAGTGTAGCATAACTCCAGCATTGGGTGGGGGGCACTTCACATTGTAGGTACTTGATAGAGGATTTTAGACCATAATTAAAATGATCAGGAACTGGATCTGCTCCTCCGAGTTTACTTCACTTTCCCACTCATTATGTAATTTATTTTTTCATGGGAACTAAGGAACTTTTTTTCTAAACATTTTTTTTTTTATCCACACCTGAGTATATTTTTTCCATTGCTTTTCAGAGAAAGGCAGAGAGAGAGGGAGAGAGAGAGAAACATCAATGTGAGAGAGACACATCGACTGGTTGCCTCCTGCATGTGCCCCAACCAAGGCCAGGAATCGAGCCTGCAACCGAGGTATGTGCCCTTGGCCGGAATCAAACCCAGGACCTTTCAGTCTGTGGGCTGATGCTCTAACCACTGAGAAAAACTGTCAGGGCCTAAGGAACTTTTTTAAAAACAACAAATGAATCATTCAAATTCAATCTGAGTAGCATAAAAGGTATAGTAATGATGGTCTCAGTGACTTCATAGTTTAGGGGCTGCTGGCAGGCCTTCTAGTACAGTGCTCACTCTACTGGGGTGCAAATCCTCATTCTACTACAGTGTGCCCTCAGGCAAGTTACTTACCCTGTCTGAGCCTCAGTTTCATCATCTGTAAATGAGAGTAATAATAGTACTTACCTCAAAGGGCTGTGATTAGGTTTGTTAAATCAAGTTTTTAAAATAGCATAATACATGCAAAGAGTTTAGCCCAGTCTTTGATACATAGCAAGAACTCAGTAATTACCTTAGCCTTTGTTTATTTGCATGCTAATTTCTGGCTCAAATTTACCACTTCTGCGAGAGAACCTGTCAAACTAGGTGTGTTTGGGGGAGAAGAGGCAGTAGGTTGGCCTCCTTGCCCTGTTGCTGTGAATAGGGCTCTATTCTTCACATGGAGTTGCCCTCACTACTTTCCACTCCTAATGGTCGAAAGAGTGAAGTCCTAATCAAATAGTTTGATATCCTTGTTTCAATGTAGACCAAAAATAGGGACCCCTTCCATGCTACTCCAGAAAAGGGGCTGTTCCTATAGTACTTTAGCTCTCAAGTTTTGCCATGACAGATAAAAGATTGGGGCTAGGGGAGGATGGAAAGAGAACCATGTAGCTATTGACTAGAGCTCAGATTGTAGTGCCAGGCTGGGGCTCTTTGGAGGCTGAGTCCACAACTCACACTTCATCCATGGTGAATCTCAACCTCATGCCTTTGGCCTAGCATGGAATAAATCTATTTTGGAAGAGAGAAGCTGGGCTAGATGATTTTTGAAGATCTAGGAATAAATTTGAGCTCCTTTTCATATAATCAGTTCAGAACCACTTTCCCGTTCCTCCCCCCAAGCAAAGTTGGAAGTTTTCCCTCTCCATCCTATAGACACCTCAGTCTCTGACTCATGCTGTTTTGTGAGATGTTTCCTGCTCAATTCTTTCTTGACCCTAATTTTAACCAGCTTTCACTTGTTTGTAAATGTTGGGGCATACTATTGTGACAGATCTTTAAGATCCAGCAGGTGTGTCCCTGACTGGCCCCTTGAGAAGTCAGGTTTTATTATAAAATTAACGGTGAAAGTCAAGATAATGACTAACAGGCCTGGTACAGGCAGATTGTTTTTGGCAATAAACATCCAGGCTGGGCTTGACCAATATACACCAGTGCTGATTATCAGCCCTGAAGAGAGCCATGCCATTACTTTATCTTTGGTCAAAATTAAAAATTTAGTAAGGACTTTCCTCATTAACATCTCCCCAAGCAATTAATTCTTCTTACTGTGTCTAGTGTGGTTATTCCTGACCTTGTCAACTTTAATGTTTATTAATTCATTTCACAGACATTTATCTGGTACCTATTCTGTGCTGGGAACTTGTCTAGACATTAGGGATATGAAGAGGACTTCTAGGAGCTTCCATTCCATTGGTCTGTATTCTGCATGGAGAGTTGCCCTCATTGTTGCACATTCCTTGTGGTTGAAAGTATGAGGTCCTGTAAATAGAGGGATATCATATGGTTCAGTATCCTTGTCACAATATACACCAGAAATAGGGATAGTGTATAAATCATATTGACACCTTTTCTAATGGATATAAGTATGAGGCACAGATGGAAAAACAATGAACTCAACCTGGGGGTGTTACCTAAGGCTGCACAGAGTAGATAACACTTAAGTTGGGTCTTGAAGGTGAAGTTCATCAGGATAATCTGGAAGTGGAGTATGGGAAGAGAGAGGAAGGCATTCAAGGCAGAAGAAATGGCATTTTCCAAATCCTATGCTTGACCAACTATATGATATAGGTCTGTAGAATTGCAAGAAATTTACTGTACATCAGCTGAGAACAGTGGGAGATGGGGGTATACAGAAAGGCAAAAGCCAGATGGAGAAAGGCTTTGCCTGCATAATCTTAAAAGAATCTTCTACATTTGCTGATGCCACTTCATTTATTCCTATTCAATTTTGACTCCTTGTGATCCCTCAACTTGCAGCCTTACTCTCTGAATCCAAGTCCAATGGAAGACACCTTTCTATCTTTAGCTTACTTGAATTCTCAACAGAGTTTAAGATGTGATAGACACTTTTCATCCTCAAAGTTTCATCTTCCTTGGATTGTAAGTACCACTGTCTCCTGGATTTTGCTGTTTCTCTGGACTTTCCATATAAGTTTTCATTATGACTTCCTTTCTTTCTGCATGACCCTTAAGTGTTATAGGTTCTCAAGGTTTGTACTCTGGCTTCTTTCTATACTTTACGACTGTCTTTTCCTGATCTTATATACTGCCAGATCTTCAATTACCTTCTCTGAATTGATTACAGTCAAATTTATATATCTAGCTCAGCTTTCTATTATGAGATGCAGTATGTCAAACTGTCTACTGGTTATTGCCACTTGTACATTCTACAGGCATCACCAGTTCAACATGTCTACTAAAATGCATTATATCTCCCATTCCTTCCTCTAGTGTCCTCTATCTCAGAGACTTGTATCATTTTTTAACCCAGTTGCCTAGGTCTGAAAAGCTCAAAATCATCTTGGAGTCCTTCTTTTTACCCCTTACCTTCTACATCTTGTCAGTGACCAAGTTGTTATTGGTTCTGCTTTCTTAAACTCTTTGATAGTTTTAACTTTGGTGAAATTCATCTCCATTTTTCTACATCTTCACTACCTATCTCTTGATCTGTCATCATTTCTCATATGGATTACTACAACAGTCTCCAAACTGGTCTCCCAGCCTCCAGTCTTGTCCCCTTCCAACCCATTCTCCACAGTGCTACTTGAGTGATCCTTTAAAACTAAAAATCTGATACCATTTCTCTGCTTAAATCCATTATCTACAGGATTAAATCTAAAAACCTATGAATGGCATATGTGACTCTTGGTGATCTGGTCCCTATCTTGGCTGATAATATAGACCCAAGCAGAACAAATGGCTTGGAATTCTGCGAAATCTAACATATCCTTTAAAAAAAACACACATAAACTTCTGTATTTACTGTATGCTGTTCCTTCAGCCTGGAAGGCTCTTAGCACCAACACCCTTCACAATCCCATTCTCTAGGCTAACTTTTCTTTCAATACTGAACTCAGATGTTCCTTCTCCTCCCTCCTCACCTTCCCTGAAATCTGGGTTTGGGTAATCTCTGTCTTCTTCTGTCTGGGCTATTTCAATCATAGCACTATTTACTCTACATTGTCATTATCTGTTTACATCTTTGTTTCTCTCCAAGAGGACAGTATGGTGGAGAAATGTGGACATATTTAAAACTATAATAACGATAATATCACTAATATAATCTTGTTATAAGTGCTTGCTGTATGTTAACCCATGTAATCCTCACAACACTGTGGGGTAGGTAGTTATTACTGAAGTTAAATCGACAGGACTTGGTGATGAATGTGGGGTCAGAAAAGAAAGAAGAGTCTCAGCTGACTCCCAGGTTTCTGACTGGAGAAAGTGGGTGAACTGTGGATGGAAATGCCTTCTACTGATATAAGGAGTACAGGAAGAACAAGAAAAGGAGGAGTTTTGGTTGGAGGGAGGGGAAAGAAACTTCTAGTTTGGGGACTGCTATTCCTTTGCCATTTTTTCATAACCAATATTTCCAGAAGCTTCAGGAATAATGTGAATAACACATCTTTCCCTCTAATTGACAGGCATTTGGAAACACCACTGTTCATCTCGGGAAAGCGCACTAAGCTTCCAGTATCCCTTTGTTAGCTTGCTGGTAGCAGGAAGGCTATGTTCTTGGGACCCTGGCCTTTCTCTCATCTTGTTCTCTGGTTTAAGGCTCCCAGAAGACAGCAAGGACACTACAACTTTGCATCCTTCAAGCTCCTGTAGTGTTTGTGCCTCCTGACCCTCACATGCCTCCCGCAGCAGGTGTGAGCACCTCCTTACAAGATAGGTGTAGTGGGCCCTTGGGCTTGGGATCAGTTGTTCTCCAAGGCCCTGACTGAGGTTGCTGCTCAATTAGCCACTGAACGGATCAACAGAGACCCGTCATTTAACCTGGGTTACTCTTTTAAATATGTGATTCCCAATGAAGACTGTGAGACTTTCAGGGCCCTCTCCACTTTCATTTCTCACCACCAGGTGGCCTCTGGATTTATTGGACCTGCCAACCCTGGCTACTACGAGGCAGCTGGGCTCCTTGGAAACAGCTGGGACAAAGTGATTTTCTCTTGGGCTTGTGTAAATTATGAATTAGACAATAAAAATAGTTACCCGACCTTTTCTCGGGCACTCCCTTCTCCCATCTGGGTGCTGGTAACTGTCATGGAATATTTGCAGTGGGCTCATGCTGGAGTAATTTCCTCAAATGAAGACATTTGGGTGCACACAGCCAATCAAGTTGCAAGTGCTCTTCGGAGCCGTGGCCTACCTGTAGGGGTCGACCTGACCACAGGAAAAGACAGCCAAAGCATTTGGGAAGCTCTCCAGCAGATTCGCCTGGCGGACAACTCCTGGCTGAGGTTTAAACGTGGCTCAGAGAAAGATATTACAATTTCCAACACGTTTCCTATCCTCGCGCCCTAAGGTAGCAAATTACTCTTCAGTTCTTCATGCGTTTGCCTCCTTCCACTCCCACGCAGGCCCCAAGACTTCCTTCTTTAACAGAGCCTATTTTATTAACTGAATAAAGGTACAAAGAACTCTGCAGTTAAAGTGCCCTTAGGTGCCAATGACTGCTCTCAGCACCAGGTTGGGGAACAATAGCATCAAGAGCAACTGTATCCACATACCCTCTTTGCTCTTAGGACCCTGGAGGTTTCAGATTAGCCAGAGGCCTGTTCTTATTGCTCCATTTTTGTCTGTTCTAGTCACTGAAAGAAGATTTTCCTTTCACTCCCTTCTGGGTACGTTCCCTCATAGGTGACCAAGGCCCTTGTGTCATCACATCTCACTGTCTTATCTGGACTCTGAAATGCATGTCCCCCTTCTGTTCTCCACCCCCAAACGGGGGCTACTTTCTCTGCAGCACACGGATATGGAACACCATATCTGCCTGATAAATGAAAGCATGTTAAAATAAGACCGCCTGCATTTTAGTCTTTCCCCTTTCAAGAGAAATTTTATGTTCAAAGATACTATTTGCAGAGGCAATGGACAAATTGTGAAACACTTTGAACTGACCCACTGAAGCTGGTATTACCAAGGCAAGTTGGGTACATTTTGGGGAAGGGAGTCCTTCTTGATTCTTTTTTAAAAATATGTTTTTATTGATTTTAGAGAGAGAGGAGGGGAGAGGGATAGAAAGATAGAAACATTGATGACAGACATTGATTGGCTGCCTCCTGCACGCCCCCTACTGGGGAATCAAACCTGCAATCCGGGCATGTGCCCTGACCAGGAATCCAACCAAGGACCTCTTAGTTCATAGGTGGGTGCTTAACCACTGAGCAACAGCAGCTGGATCTTCCAGATCCTTTTATATCAAACCTTTTACTTACACTTATTGCAAACCTTCATGACACTTGGTGTTGATTTTTTATATTCTAATTTTTAAAATGTCCACTTTATCTTTATCTTATCCTAATTTTAAAAATCTCCACTTTATCTCTTTCTAGAAAGTGGCAGTAATTTGTGGGAACACTGCTCATTTCCTTATTGCAGCTACTCCACCACTTTGGGACAGATAGCTCAGACACTACTTTGTCAAACTGATTACTTCTAGGATTAGTCCTAGTCCTAGTCATTTCCTTAATATAACAATGGACTTGTTAGAGAATGGTCCAGCTAAAGCCTGGCCCATACCCAGAATCCCATTTTAGGTTTCAAGTGTCTCCAGTATTGAAACTTAATTATGATCATTATGGGGGGATGAGGACAAGAATTTTTAGTTACAGGAACTACAGTAGTCTGCTTTCAGCTGCACTCTACAAGATCCTATAATGTTAAGCAATCAGTGTGATTCTGATTACTTCATAACAGAGCTGATACCTTTAAAGCAGAGCTCAGAATTATTTTTAAAGCTATAAAAACCATTTCCAAAGAGATGTGATGCCAGAAACAGGCTAACATATTTAATAAAACTTTATAATATGTTACAAATCTTCATGAAGCCCAGTATCTCCTGCAAGTTTATATTTAATGAGTGTTTCATATCCAACCCATTCTAAATAGTATACTTTTTGAAATGACATTTTGACCTCTACCATGAAATGTTAAATAAATCCAGGTCCGGAAGCAATTTGGGCTGTCAGTGGACTGAGCGCTCACCACCCACATCTCCTTTGAGGTAGGGAAGGAGCAAAGGTACATATTATTGCCTTACCATGAGAGATTATTTCCTTAGGTCAGTGGTTCTCATTGTGGCTGCACACTGGAATTACCTGGACATCTTTTCAAAATGATTGATTCCAGAGTGCCACCTCCAGAGATTCTGATGGTCTGATAGTGGGGCCCCAGCAAAAGTATTTTACATAGCTTCACAGGTGCTTGTAAAATGCAACCAGAGTCAAGAACTACTGCTTTAAGTTAATGAAAATGCAAATGAATATTCCTTACTTTAAGCTATTAGTCATTTTTATCTTATGATTTTGTTTAATCAGATTGTTTTCTTTGTAACAGTACGAATCAGCCCACTAAGGGAATGAAACTTTTTTTTTTTTAATGAGATTTTTATTTTTAGTATATGTTTATTGATTTCAGAGAGAGGAAGGGAGAGGGAGAGAGAGAGATAGAAACATCAATGATGAGAGAGTCATTGATCAAGCCCGCAATCCGGGCATGTGCCCTGACCGGGAATCGAACCCTGATCGCCTGAATCCTAGCTCAACGCTCAACCACTGAGCTACGCCAGGCCAGGCTAAGGGAATGAAAGTTTTAAGATTAGGGGGGGAAAGCCAGAGAGGAAGGTATGTGGTTATGGAGCAAAGAAAGACCCTGGGTAAAGAGGACAGCAACAGAAAGTGAAGTAGGGACACAGAAAGGGAGAGAAAAGGTAGTGAAGACAAAACAGTGCACTCTGGGACTTTGCCTCTGGTTTCTGACAAAACAGGCAGACTCAGATGAAGGATGCTGGGATCCCAGCAACGTGAGTCAGAATGTGGGCAGGTGGGTGCAGTGGGGGAGAGACAGGCAGGGAAAGTGAGCCATCCGTTAAGCTGTGCCCTGAGTATGACTTCTGGTAGATCAGTGTGCAAGTCTTCAAAAAAGTATTTGGTACTCACACTTGATATAGCCAGTTGTTGGTATCTGAGGGCATGCTAAGTAGTAGGTGGGTTGTGACAGCAGAAGTTGTGGAAGAGAAGAGTCTTAAAGTAAGATAGAACTGTCTTTTACTTTATTATCCATTGAGAGCAGTGCTCCAGCCACTGGGAGTATGAGAACTAGGATCCAGAGTTTAAAAAAAAAATAGACTGAGTCTTAGGACTTTAGCTCAGTGGCCTATGGTTCAGGGCACATCTCCAGTCCCATCAGAAAAAGGGAGATCTGGTGAAAAACTGAGCCAGAAGCCAATGAGTGTGGTTTGGGCCAACAGAGCAGTGAGGAAAGTTATAAAACACCAGATACAGCACAAACCAGATCAAATCTCTAGCTGATTTTCTAGCCCCTCTCAAACTGGTAGGACTTAGACTGCTAAAGTATTTCTAACTGTTATCTATCTTGACTGAAAAGGTACTCAGCTTTTTTTAAAAATAGTTTTTAATTTTCCACAAACCATATATATTTTTTTCTTCACCTGAAGATATGCTTTTTATTGATTGTAGAGAGAGAAAGGGGGAGAGAGAGAGACAGACAGAGAGAGAGACAGAGAGAGAGAGAGAGGGAGAGAGGGAGAGAGAGAAACATCCATTTGAGAAACATCGATCAGCTTCCTCCTGTATGTGGCCTGACCAGAATTGAACCTGCAACCTTTTTGGTGTACTGGACAATGTTCCAGCCAACTGATCCACACAGGCTAAGGCAAAAGGCACTAAACTTTTTGTGTGTCAGCTGAGAAGAGCTGGGGAAGGCAGGCCTTTCATATTCTGCTGGATATGAGGCTACTTCCCTGGCCTCTTTCCTATTCCACTAGATATGAGACTACTGCTTAACACTGGGTACCTCCAAGCAAACCTTCAGAGAAGGACCTTTTGTGACATAAAAAATACAGTGAAAAGGAACCCCTTCCTTTGGAGAGACTTGACAATATTTGGAAGTAATAGAAATAGTTGGAAGTTTGGTTTTGTCTCATCTGCTCACAATAACAGCGACTACAGCTTCATGTGGGGATAGTCGTGAGAAACAGTGGTGGGAGGAAGGAGAGAGAAAGCTAGTCTACTACTGGCTGGTATCCTATTAGGAAATAACCTTGGCACCTTATAAGAGTCAGAAGGACTGCCTTTCTACAAACTGCTTCTAAATTGTGCTGACACAATACCAAGACAATGATAAACCTTCATAGTAAAGATGATAACAATAATTACAGTTGTGGGCCCTTGAGAGAGGAAACAACAGGGATGTTATTAGATGTTACTTTAGAGACAATGAAAGGAACCATAAAAACACTTTACATGTGAACAACTCTCTGCAGTTTACAAGGTATTTGCATATAGATAATCTCATTTAATCATCAGGATTAGGGAGGAGATAGGTATTTTCTTTCAAATTTTACAACAAGTGTGAATCAGTCTCACATAACATATAAGTAGCTGTAGGCATTATTAACACCAAAGAATGGGGTAAATGAAGTCCTAGAGAAGTGGGGATCCAGCCTCTCCCAGATTATCAGCTCATTTAGTTTAAACTTCGGGGACAATAATCAAGTATCTTTGTTTCTGACTAAGTCAAATAGAGATATTAATCAAAGGCAAAGGCCTCAATTTACAGTCAGGGCTGCTGTGTGTGGTTATGCAGGTTGTGCCCTGCACAAGGGAATCTAACTGAGTAGGCATGAGGGCCAAAATTCAGTTCATTCTCTGCTTCTTTAACCATGAGCCCTGATGGAGGTTTTGATCCAATGGGACAAAAGAGCATCCATTCACCAGGCAGAGCACCTGTGAGATTGTAATTACCCTGAATAGGTTCTTTTGCTAATTCTCACAAAGGCTAGCTGGAGGCCCCATTAAAAAAGCTCTTCAGAAAACTTTTCAAATGGCTATTTCAAGCCCTCCTCCCTTCTCCTCAATTTTTTGCCTATCAATGCTTGACTGATTGTGAAATCCTTTCAATTTGGGCTTGCCAAGTTGTTGAACCATTTGGGGACTCCTTTAAGTCCTAAATGGGGAAATTTTCATGACAATATGACCATTAGTAAATAGGGCACAATCAAAATGGTCTTATTTTATTCTTTCAAAAATTAGTATCTTATTGCCTCTTCCTATCTATTGAAAATTATTCTGCATAAAAAATAATAATAACAACAAAGATAATAGCTAATATTCATTGAGAGTTTATTATGTGCTAGTCATTTGCAAAGGCTTTGTATGGACCATTTCATTCAACTCTTGCAACATCCTTATAAAGTAAGGCTGATAATTATTTAATGCACTTTAT